GGCGTGGGGGCCTGAGCACGTCTGGAGCGCCTCACAGCGGCGTGGGGTCGCGGCCGTTGGTTAATGGAGGTCTTGGCATCACCCTTGCTCCAGCACTGAGAGAAGGCGGCCGTGCGCCATGCCGCTCCCTGGGAGAGGAACGGCGGCAGGGGTGGGTGTGGGCTCCCGCGCCGCCGGCCCGCTCATCCCCGCGGAAGGACACCTGTCAGCACCGGGTGTCGCCCTGAGCGCTCGCCATCCCGGCCGGCCAGCGGGGGCTGCGCGGTCCTCGTCCTCGCCATCCCGGCCGGCCAGCGGGGGTTGCGCGGTCCTCGTCCTCGCTATCCCGGCCATCCCGGCCGGCCAGCGGGGGCACCTCAGCGCGGGAAGCCAGGCGCTTTGCAGTCGGCGTGGATGGCATCGGTGGGGCGGGTGGAAGGGCGGCCCAGGCCCATCGGTGGGCGTTGGGGATGTCCGGGGCCACGGACGCCCATGGTGGACAGCTGACCTTGGTTCTGTGTTAGCAACTTGGGCCACGCAGATGGATGAAACTAGACGGAAGGAAGCATGAGGGGGCCTGCGCATAGCACGACTGCAAACCAAGTCGTCTTTACTTTCTGCAAACATTCAAGGTTTGGAGAGTTGCACGCAGGAAATACAAGAGTAACCGCTGTTCTTGTTTTCATCAATTGGAAATAATTTCTTGACACACACACACAGGCACCGTGGCCACAGTGGATGTGTGAACAAGAGCGAAGGGCACGGGGGCTGGAGAAGAGGGGGTGGCCGCGCCCTTGCCACCAGACTCCCCAGAGGCCGGCCCGGCCAGCCCACCACCCAGCACAGAGACAGCCTCGCTCCTGCGACTGCGCTGGGGCCAGCTGCACGTGTTCACGGGAGCGGGAGACCTGTCCACCGCAGCACTGCGGCTACCGTGTCCCGCCTGCGCCCGGCAGGAGCCAGCTGGCCTCCCTGCCCCACAGGCGAGGGACTGCCCCTGCAGGACTGCCCCTGCTGTGCCGAGTCCTGTCCTCGAGAGGGGTGTCCTGCGTGAGCCGGGAAGGGTGCCGTCCGCATCCACAGTGGACACGCTCAGCAAGAGTGGTGGACAGATAGATCCCGTCCTGGGTCCGGCCTTGGCATGGCAGCTGCCCACGCCAGAAGCCCTCAGACAGCCAGGATGCGGGAGTGCCCAACCCCGCCACGCGGCCGCCAGCCGCACGCTTTGCCCGTAACCACATCCACACGGCAGGCCCCACTGCTCTTGATCAACGGCAGCAATGTGTCCTTGGAATAATAAAATGCCTTCGTTTCCCATGACTGGGAAAGTGAGCGATACGCAGTAACCCTTATTTTGATTTTAACTATTTATTATGACTTCATTCTGTGCATCAAACTTGGTGTGTATTACATGTCTAAGCAAGTAATACCTAGATAGATGTCTCATTTATAGATTTTCTTCTAACCAACTTATATACTTATCTTTGACTCTGTGGCCCAAGTGTAGATGGAATGGTGAGTTTATGAATGCTAGAGCCCCGTGGAATCCATCCTCTACGTGGTCGTGAGTAACGTTCACGCCAGCATTTTGCAGTCGGGTGACATAAATGAGTCCGTCATCTCTCAGGACATCGTGCTCACAGGTGAGCACGTAGGTCAGCGGCAAGGTCTGAAGCTCAGAGTCGTTAGCTATCAAAGGCGAAATGTGTGCTACCGAATTGAGATAAGAAGCATTAAAAATTCCAGTAATGGGTTCAGTATACACATGGTTCTTTTTATACTTCTCAGGAAGGAAGGTACTCCAGTTAACAAACTTTAGCAGATGTTTGTGCTCTTGAGGCACATGCTGGTTTTTCCACATCGCTTGGGGCAGGGCTTGGTCTTTAGTTACATAGAGGCACCCTAGCTTAATGAGCACCTTTCTTGGCAGGATGGGGCCATATTCATTCTCCATGTGTGACGGCATGAGCGTATCGAACAGTTGCAGCCCAGGGTAGATTAAGGCCTGCGCCTTAATTTTATCTTTGAATTCCGGATCATTCTTTAGCTGAAAAGCATAATGAAATGTTAATGAGTCAGAGGCTTCAACCGTCTGAGGTCAGTAGTTCATAAAATTTCTAAATCACTGGTAATTACTCTCACAACTCACAGACAAAGCAACGTGAACAATCACGCATGCACACGTACACGTAGGGCCACCAAGCAAATACGAGTGTGCCATTCCTAGGAAAGGCTGTCGGAGACCATCTTGGTGTGAGCCAGCCTAGACAAGAGCAACAAGAACAGGGTCAGGTTGGTGAGCGGCTGTGCGGCGGGTGTGAGGGATGGGAGCAGGGTCAGGTTGGTGAGCGGCTGTG